CCCCCCCCCCCCCGATATCAGCGCTTGGGTTTTGTTTCTTGATATGTTAGCTTATAGTTTTTCAGTGTTGAGTCTAATATTGTTTTCAATTCTTATATTTGCAGTCTCTTTAGACCCCTTTATGAGATTCTTTTTTCTGTTTTAGTTCTTCATGTTATTACTTTTATTGTTTAATTTTATTGATTGGTTGCCTTAATTTCTCAATTAGATCATTAACTCATAAATGAAACACCCCAGTAAATGCCACCTCTTAATTTGATACATTGCTCTCTGTACATTCTGGCTTTATCTCAGTTGTTCATAGAGGGTACAGTAGTTCTGAATGTTATTTGCCATATCATCAATGGTTCTTAATTATTTTTCCTTTATCCATAACAGGGCTCCAGTTCCAGGTCCAGTTTATTTAAAGTATAGTTATAGTATCATAGAGAATTGGATTAGGGAGTTCATAGTTTTCTGCTTTTTGATCCTAGTGAACATATTGGCTTCTGGGCTGGGTCACAGTCTTTCCTATTAAGAGGCTGGCAGAGGCAGACCCAGAGGCATACAGTGGTGCAGTTGCACTCCCCTTTAGCTGTGTGCTACATGTGGAGTGAACTGCCAGAAACTCATCAACATGTCAGCACAGCTTTACATGTGCTCTGAGCTCTATGAGCTCACTGCCATGGGGTCTGTGCAGATACTCTACTTTCAAGGAGTTCTGTAGCCTGCTACTCTTTGTCCTTTCCTCCCCTCCCCCTGTCCTCCCACTCCCACCACATTCAGCAGCAGGGAAAGGAGGGGATGAGCAGCAGTGGTGGCAGTAGCGATGCTTAGCTCTTGCTTTCACTGAGTCCAGGGTCTGCACACCTCTTCCTCTTCCTCCCTTTCCCCTGATACTTAATTGTGGGTGGGGTGGAAGGAAGAAAAGAGAAAACAGCAGCAGGCTTAGGAGCTGAAAGCAGGATCTCCAGGCAGACTAGCCAGTGAGCTCATGGAGCTCACAGGACATGAGGGGCTATACTGACATGCTGGTGAACTCTGAGAGCTCACTGGCATCCAGGATTACAGCAAAGGGCTGCCTTATACCTACAATCTTTTCAGCTATGTGACATTTCTGCTATGAGTTGTCTTCACTTTGCATGTACCATGCAGCTGAAGGGGGTGTGACTGCACACAGGTCACTGCAATCCTGGATCCATCCATGGAAGCTGGTAATTTCATGGCTCACAGTCTGATTCAGCAAAGAATGTAAACATGTGCTTAAATCCCTGTTTGCTCCAAAAGGCTAGGCTCATGGTCAAAATTAAACATGTGTTTAAGTTCTTTGCTGAATTGAGGCCTAAAATACCATTCTGAAAAGTTATTTTAAGCCAAATGTTAGGCTTTCTGTGTCTTTTCTACAATGATGAAATAAAAAGGAAATATACCTCTGGGTGAGGAATTTTCTTAGCAAGGAAGGAAAAGTTTAGATTTTAGTCCACAGTTTGATTTATTTGGAAACTCACTTCTGTAGTGTAAACTAACTCCCTGGTTCTGTAAGGAATTAAAACAGTGTAAATGCAGTGGGCCAGTTGTGGCTGGCTGGGTACAGATGAATATAATGATGACTTACAGACTAGTTCAAATACATGTATAAAGTAGTAATCCTGGGTCTTCATAGTCTGGCTTGGGTAGTGTTATTTCTACCATCAGCCCTGTGGTATTCCAGTATTGTGTGGCAGGGCTGGGATGTTCCATTCCACATCAACTGAGAAACTAATACAGGTCCTTACATGGAAGTAATACATGCTACTTTCTTCAAAGTGGATGTATTAAATTTATTTGTGTGTGTGTGTGTGTGTGTGTGTGTGTGAGTGAGTGTGCGCGTGGTAATCTCACTCTCCTCCCAACATATATTCTCCTAGGGTGTGTCCAGATGAGCCTGCACATGTGTTTTGCAGCATCTCAAAGCCCTTTGAGATGCTGCAAGAGGCACATGTGGGAATTAGATCCCTGGATAAAAAACTGCAGCAGAAAAAAGTGGGGCCTGAGGCAACCAGAGTCTGGGTTCTCCACAGAGACACTCTGGTAGCAGCCAGAGCATCTTTATAGCTGGCCCTCACCCTGGTGCTGGAGTACGCTGCCTGCTTGTGCAGGACAGGCAGTGTGCCAGCCGCAGGGAGCTAGACCTGGGCTCCAGTGCCAGTAAGTTGGGGCTGGGGGGCGCTGTAACCTTTGTTGTGGGGCTGTGGCCCCTGGTGGGGGGGTTGTGGCCCCTGTTGAGGGGGCTATAAACCCTGTTGGGGGGCTGTAGCCCTGGGGAAGCTTTAACCCCTGTTGGGGGGGGGCTGTGACCCCTGTAGGGGGGCTGTAACCCCTGTTGCAGTTACTGTGGCCCCTGTGGGGGGGGGGCTATAACCCCTGTGGAGGACATGCTTTGACAGTTTAAACGTCTTCCGGGTGACAGCTGCTCAGATGGCAGGGCAGGGATACACATGGCAGTAGTGCCACACAAAGACCAGCTTTGTAGCCACAGCCCACTGGCAGCTGGCCCAGAGGGGCAGGTGCCTCATCCAGGTCTGGCAGGTGCACAGCAGGTCACAGCCAGGCAGCAGCCCCCACTGCCAGACTGCTGCAGTGGGTAAAGGGTTCAGGGAGCTCTCAGGGCTGTTTCAGCAGTCCAGCTGGCACAAGGGGTAATGAGCCCAGGTACCAATTGGCTAGGCCCCAGAAGCTCCTGAGAGTGAGTAGTCCTGAGCTACTTGTCAGGGCAGCTTTTTGTATTGATGGAGCCAGGACAGGGAAGGGTTTTATACTGCTGGGAACAGCACAGGTGCTGGCCCCAGGCTATAGCTCCCTTTGGCTGCAGATCTAGGCAGACCCAGGCAGGGTTATTGTGCCCCAAGTGGCACAATTTGCCCCACACCAAAGTCCATGTCTGGACATGTGCACTGAGGCAAAAAGCCCTGGCTCTAATTTACACTGCTTCTATTTGAGCTACTGCAAGCGCACATGCTTATATGTATGGATGTACCCCTGTTATTTATAAGCAGGGATCCTGGTTTTCTCTGATAAAAAAAAAATCTCCAATTTTTTAATTAAAAATAGTAACCCCAAATCCATATTTTTTGGAGATTAAAATGAAATGCCACTATGTATATGTAGTGGTGTTTCATGTTAATCATAAGAAAATGTGGATTTTGGGTTACTTTTTTAAATCTGAAAATTGGGGATTACCACAATAAGACTAACACAATAAAATTGTCATAGAATCCTATGTAACCAGATTGCTGTCTTTTTTCCCATTCTACTTGGTATTGACTGGAATGAACTGGAATGACATCTCTTACATTATAGATGCTAATAATCACCATTTCCTGTATGATCCTTATATCACACCATTTTTCCTGATGCCCTTCTCTGGCATATTCATTAATCAAAGAGCTGACTGAAGACATGGGCATTTTTTTTTCTTGGAAATTGTAGTGCGGGATACACTTTTTCATAGAATGTGACATTTTTCTTCTAACAATTATTTTTTAACAGATGACCACCCAAAACCCCAGCCACATCCTCATCCACGACCAGGGAGCAATAGCAACACTGGTAAGAATATTTCCTCATAAAAATTAAGAAAAAAAACCCATTTAGCTCAGATTTTTATTCAGTAGCCAGATTATATATTCTGTGTACTTATTTAGTCATCTCCTTTGATAACTATTCTAGATCTAGTTTGGAACCCTAAGTGCTTAAAACATTAAGATAGTTTGGGTTGACATACACAGTTGATCAAGATTCTGATTTTACGTGGTATTTTTTTTAAATCACTAAAGAAAAAAATATGGTTATGATGGCTCAAAAAGTAAGCAATGAAGAGAAATAGGAAAAAAAGGAGGAGGGAATAGGAAGGAGTAGAAGACGAAAAGGGAATGTGCAATGAGCAACAATTTAATGACCAAAATATTCCAACAATTCCTTCCAAATTGCACCAAACATTTTGGGCCTAGGTAAACCTGCTAGACATGATTCTCTCCATGAATGCCAGCTGTACCATCTTATTTTATCAGATTTCAACCTTTGGACATGTCCTACTTTTCCAATGCAGCAATATAAACTTGCATGTTTCTAATAAAACCAGCTGTCAGAGTGTAATCTCAGATGGATTTGGTTTGGATTCCTTAGGGATATACCTGAGAACACACACATTTGTCAAAGGTATTAGTGCTGTGTTCAAAGTCATGTTAACTTTAGTTATAGTTTCTTTCCAAAAAGAATTGATAATAGGGGATGACCAAAACATGTGTCCAACCGTTGCCTGCAATGCATTGTATCTTCAACATGTTTCTACTAACAATATTTTACATTTTTTTAAGGTTAGAGTGATCCCAGTGCAGATGAAAAATGACCTTTTCTTGTATGAGAGGAGGTCTAAGATCAATTGTGGATGGTTGAATATTGTGAATTGCTGATTTCCACTGAGATTCTGTCATCTGGATAACTAGGTCTTCATTACACTTCACTCTTAAATTGGCTGCATCAGGTCTGTTATGCAACATCATATAGTCATAGAATGATGGCACAGAATCGGAAAGAGAAACAGATTTCAAGGGAAAAAACCATCTATCTTAAGTATTTGCTATACCTAAAGCCTCAAATCCAAGCTGATTTTTTATCTAGTACTTGATGCAACTATATATAGATAGATAGATAGATCTCACCATTCAAGTATTATTGAAGTTCAAATTCATCACACAACTGAGAAAAGGACTTAATATGAGTTCCTGCTAGAAGCTGTTCTACATGCACAATACCCTTACCCATTCTCTATCTCCACATCAGTTTGTGGGATCCATACTTCAAAAAGAGATTGGAGGTCAAATAGAGATCTTCTAATGTAACAAAGGATGGCACTTTAATACATTAGCCAAATATTTCCAAGCTCGTTGGGCTTCAAAAATTGTAGGGATTAGAGAGTTAGAAAGACAGTGAAAAGTAGACTTTATGATGCATGATAGTGGAAAGGGAAGCAACTGCCTGTTCAATTTCCACCCATACAGGAGAGACACCAGTTATATCAGTTATCCAGTATATAGCCTGATTAACTAAGAAGTCATTGTGATACTGTTGAAGGTTTGGAAAATGAAAGTCACCCCTTTAAATTGGTAGTTATGTATTCTTTTTTTTTCAATTGAAAGCCATGGCCTTTTTTCTATTGAAAGCATTCTCTGCCATCTGGGACAGTAATTTACTCAATTCATGACTCAAAATGGTAAGAATGCGTAGGTTATCAGGCAAAGGATGTGTGATATAATCCTAATCTAAAGATATATTTTTTCTTATTAAAGTATATGTTTTTGTATCCCCCCTTTTTTCCAGAAGATATTATACATTCTTATAAGAAGGCTTTAATAGTTTTCCATAATATTGAGGTTGGGAAAGGAGTAGGTTCATTAAGCTCCATAATTCTTTTTAATTCTTACAGAATGAATTCTTCACATTTAAATCATTCATCAGAGAGGTTCTGACTTGCCAGTAATTATTTACAGCTAGTTCGTCTACAAGGAAGAACTGAAGCTCTACTTTAGCATTTTGCAAGACAGGTATAGAGTAAATAGAGGCATTGACAGCTGAATCTAGTTACTGGTCACATCCACACATGCCCCTGACTGTGCATTTGGTACTGTGCAGTTGTTATTACTTTCTAAAGTACCTGCTGGTACTGTGCAGTCCTGGTGGCGCACCGTTATTTTTAGATGCTACATCGCCGTAGCAACGAGCTACATTGCCATCGTTACAGCAACATAATGTCTTGTGTAGACCTGCCTACTGTATCTAAATGTTGGTGCAACCAAGTATTTATTGACTGATCCATTTAGAAGGTATCGAATGCTAGAATAGCATGATGCTGATAATCATCTTGCTTTCTTCTCCATTCTCTTAATGACAATCCAGATGTCCCTATTGCAGGATCAAAGATTTACTATCTGAATTCATGGCATTTTTGCTTTCAAATGGATTTTAATGAATGACCCTGAGGTGAAAGCAGCTTACCCACTTTGCACACAATGGGCTCGCTGGACAAGAGTTCCCTCACTGTATAAGAAGATTCTGGGAAAGAATTTTCTCTTAAGGCTCCAAGAACATGCAGGATATGGTAGCTGAAGGGGGATAATGAAATTAAATCAAATTTAGAAAATAATAATTTAAAAAAAATAATATTTTAATTTTACAGGTGATATCAGTGACTTAGATCTCAATGATGGGAAGCCTTTGCCACCAAGGCCACCAGGTATTGTGTGCCCACTATATTGTTATTTTGCAGCTGCTCTCATATACTGATACCCAGAGTCATCGGGCTTTGCTTTAGACTTAGGTCTGCATGCCACTGCCTAATATAGAAATGGATTCTACTAGTCGTATTATGATGAGTGTATCCACCAGCAGTGTTACAAGATGTTGCTCTCTCTAACCTGGCCCCATAAATCAGTTTAAGCTCATCCATAAGCACCCTATTGAGCTGAGGCAGAATCTTCAAATCTTTTGGTTTCAGTCCCATCATGCCATTGAATTTTGTGGGTCTGTTCAGGAGATTCTCCACAGGATGAAGAGGAAAAACATGAGGCCAATAATGATTTAGATTGTCTCCCCCCAGTGGTGTGGTTGTCTGCCAGTAAAATGAAGCTACAATGTAACAGCGCTGTGGCCACTTCCCCTTCATACACCCTGTAGGAGGAGCTGCCTATGAATTGAAATGTACAGAGCATTTTTAGGAGGCAGCTAAGGATGTTTTCCTCCTTTTATGAGTTAGTATTATTAAAACATTAAGGCAGAGAGGACTTGTAATCAAGATTAGAATCCATATATCCCCAATTTCCAGTCCTCTACTCTAATCATATGTTGCAGGACATCTTTGTCTTCAGCTAAGTAAAAGAGGTGACTGTTCTCAACAAGTTTCTTAAAAATAACATTTTCTTCTCCCTTTCAGGAGAAAGGGAACAGAATTACAATCATGAAGGAAACACTGGTATAGTAAATACATGTTTTTTTTATCCTGTTATATTTAGGATAATCTTGGGTAAACAAAATGTTTCACCTTTATCAAATTTTTGCATGTTCAGCATAATGCTATAAGATGGTATTTTCTTGCTAGAAATAATTTTACAGTTTTTAATTTTATCACAAATCCAGCAATCTAGCATTTTTAAGGATACTCCTAAAACATTTTGTGTCATGCTTTGTAGATAATTCAAAAGTTGTATCAACACTTTCTTCACACAGATCTTTGCAAACACACTTTTTCATGGTATGTATATACTCTTAAATGAGAATATTCCTTTTTTTGCTTCTGAGTAAAACATTCCCTCTGTCATTAGATACTGGACTAGCAGCTGGAGTTGCATCTCCTGTGGTTTCTGCATTTGTGCTGTTGATTGTTGGATCAGTAGCTGGCTACAGAGCTTACAAGAATAAGCAACTTTGTTTTAAACCACGTGGTAAGTTTGAACTCTGTTTTCATTCCTATTTGAGAATCATGGTAAACACATATTGAAAGAAAAGTTTCTATTTTTTTATGACACAAGTTTAAAATCTATATGTTCTCTTTGTATGACATGCATAGAAAACATTAGCTAAACTTATGGGCATAGGCATGGAAGGAATAACTAAATGAAAAGAATCTGTCACAGTCTTTGAGTTTTAGTTAGCGAAATATGGTGCACCTGGGTACAGATTTCATTTTACTTGCATCAACTTTTTCAAGACCAATAAGCCCCCCAACAGGGATTAATTGAAACTCCTTATTACTTACCTTTACTATTTAAGTTGTAGTTGTACCCTGAAAATATTATGTGTTTGCTAAAATTAGAGTGGAAGACTAAAGGCATGTCTATATTACAGTCATAACATGGGTCCTAATATTTACCCAGGTTCTCAGGCAGATACTTCAGCACCTACTGAATTCCTTGATATCACAGAGACAATACTAGCAGTCGTGTTATCTCAATTATTTCTACATAGTCTGTGGTCACAGCAATGATCTCACTCTAGTCTTACTCATTCTCCCATATAGGGATGTATGTGTGTGTAGAGAGAAAGTCCAATTTCTTAAAAATGGAAAAAAAAGTTAACAATACCTAGATGCATAATGGTCCCTGGTGCCTGATAAGCACTGCATATATGCAAGAGTGAATTAGAATATTTAGGTGAGATTTTTTTCAAAGTGCTTGGAGCCGATCTGACGCTCAAAGTAATAAGAATATTATCATAACTTTTCAGTGAAAACTCACTTAAGCCTTTTAATTATTTCAGCCTAAATATTATTCTCTAGGTTTGTAAAGGATATTTGTTAACTGTTAGCCTGTATTGAATGCTATCTTTCTTTTTATGGCAAATAAGCTATGTTCATCCATCAATTTGCAATAATCATCCAAAACATTCAAATTTACTGAATTCCCAATTCAAGTCTCACCCTCTCCCTTCACCCTATTATTGGAAAACATGATGGTAGTTTTGACTAGAGGCTTCTGTGATACAAAGTGGTTGCAATTTTACATTTACCATGGGCACCTACAAGAAATCAGCATAGACTCAAAGGATGGTGCTTCATCATCTTATGAAAAATTATTACCTGATGTAGTTGCCTGTGACAGCAGGGACTGGACCCTTCATAGTCTTGTGTTCAGGAAAAGGGCACAATTAAAATATCACTCCATCCCTACTGCTACTGCTGCTATTAGAGGTCCTGTGGAGTCCCTAGAAGGATTGTTGTATAGGGCAGAAGAGAAAAAATTCTGTTTGTCCTTCCCTACGGATGTACAGACCTTGGCTGATGCACTTGGGGCTGTAGAAAATGATTATAAAATAAAGAATGGACTAAATAACCCTGAGCAGAAACTTTTCAATGCTGGTTTTCAATTTTTCATTTTAGGTGAGACATCTATATAAGCTGCCAGGACATGACCTACACAGTGATAGTGGCAAGATCAGTCCAAGATGTATAAAATACATATATTGCTCTCCTGAAAAAATAATGCATAAAATGTTGTTTTTTTTCCTTGGGACAAAAAAAAGAAAAAAAAGAGGGGGAGCAGCTAAATCCAAAAGCAAGTTTTATAAATCTTTTCTATGCTTTGGTTATCCTACCCTGAAAAAACCCCACCATTCATTGAAAATCTTGAAAACTCATCACATTTCTTCTCTCCTCAACTTACTGGCATAATTTTATTCTGGACTTTATGTAATTAAAGATGCACTTAATGTATGTATAAGTAATATAGCACAATCTTCATGTTGTGTGTATATTTTGGTTCACATGTTAAATCAGGTCAGTTTCTTGTTTATAAAACTATATAATAACCTTTTGAGGTTTAATGTTTTGCATTGAGAATTTTAACCACAGAATAGGTAGTACTTTGTTTGCTTCCTTAAACATAATCCTTCTAGTGACAGAGGCATAAAGAATTTGCCATTCTTCCCTGTGCACATAGATATACTCTTATGTATTATATGTATTTTTATGAGATTTATGGACTTATTCAAGTTGTATAAAAAGGATTAAGTATTTATACCTTTTCTTTTGACCCTTGCATCTGAATTCTGTTGAATGGAAGAATCAATAGTTGAAACCTGTTTTTCTTTAAAAAAAAACTGTTATGGGTGACATACTAATGTTAAAATACCTTTTTTTAATGAACTCCAAAGGACACAAGTTGATCTCTAAAGAATTGTGTTAAACTCCACTTAAATTCTAAAAGTCTGAAGTTAACTTTACTTCTCTTCAGTGACACCTGATGTAGAAAGAGCCATTTCTAGAACTCTTTAAAGGCAGCAAGAAGCCCTCGCATTGACTTTAATCAGTTATGAATCAACTCCTTAAGTACCAGCTTTTAGGTAATTTGGAGGCTCTGTAATAGAGACCAAGGCTACATGGTGCAATGCAATGCTGTGCAGATGCACAAACTAGTATAAATATGAGAAGCACTCTAAACAAATTTAATGTGATCCTCTGCCCAGGCTAATGTATGCTGAAGAAAAGTACCTAGCTTGAATAAACAAGGTTCACACTGAATCTTGCCATGCAGACAGACCCCTAATCTGGGCAAGTCCTTAAAACATACTTTATTGGATATATTACAGACGAGGAGGTGTCACCACCAAGAGCCAGGTTAACCGTTTTCTGGACTCCCAACTGCTGCAACTTTGTCTGGTGAGCAAGGCAAGGTTCCAAAGCCCTGGCAACAGCTGCAGGACCAGAGGAGGATTAACCTGGCTCTCCACAGTGACACCTGACACTTTCCTGCCTCCATTCAGGAGCCTCCTTTTTCTGAGTGCCAGGGACTCCTGTGCCACTTGTGCAGGTCGGGCACCTCTGTTACAAGCACTAGCTATGGAGTCTTGGCCTTTCAGTGATAGCTGTGTCTCCTCATGTTTTTAACTCTGGAGATTTTGGTTTAGTCCTCATTTGGCAGCAACACGATGTTGACCATCATGTAATGAAAATACAGTACAAGGAGTAGGGGTAGGAAACACAGGGTGCATCTACACATGCACTTTACTGTGGAGTTGACTAATTTTCTCTGCAGTAAAGCATCACAGTCTACATGTGTGCCAGTATCAGGGGACAGTAAACTAATTAACTCCACCGTAGGATAGTATTGTTGGGGACAGTATTATTTTACAGTGGAGTACTTTACTACACTGAAACAAATGTCTAGACAATGATGGGGGTTTAAATTGTGCCCAGTCAATCTAGGCAGCTGGGGGCTTGCTCCACTACAGCTCAAACTGCTGCTGTCCTGAGTACATGTGATGATGCTATGCCCGGCAGTAGTTGACTCTGGCACAAACTACTCTAGAGTTTATTGTGTCACCTTAATTTCATGTGTAGATGTACCTGCAGTGTTTTCAGTTGGAAGCCCTATCTTGAAGCATCCTATATCATCACCTGGCACCTTTTTAACTTCTTGATATGTAGAATCTACCTACATTTCAAATATATGTTCTCTTCTCATTCTTAAACTGATACCTAGTTTACACTTAATTTCTGTTGAGTATGATTTTATGTTTTCTTCTTCTTCATCAGCATAGCTATGCTGTCTATGTGCTTCCCAGTATAGAAATACTTTTATACTACAAAATGTGCTTTTGTCCATAGAGTTTACTTGCTTTGGACAACTGGCTCTAAACTATAACTGCAAAATTATTTTTGGCTCTTAAACTGCATCAGCACTAGTTGAGGCCTGGTGGCATAGCCACGCTAACAGAACTGTGTCAGCAAATCCTTATAAGTGTAGGCAAGATGTAATTGTTTTGACCTTCTTTTTACAAAAGAACAATGCTTTGCCTTGTAAACTCATTAAATCACATAGTAATGGCTTTAAGCCTGAAGTGGGACTTGTACCTTTCCAAAGAATCCCTAATGGAAAAAAGAGCATGAAGCTTTGTTTATAAAGGTGTTAAAAAAAAAGATGTCAGCTGCAGAAAAAGGTTTTCCACAAAGAAACCCAAACCCTTCTAGATAAAGAATAATTTCAAATAGTAGTAACTGAGGAAAGAGACTATTAAGGGAAGGTTATTTTAATAATATACTAATATGAGATCTGAGTTTATAAACAAGCAATTATAATTGTATGTATCAATTAATATAAAATGCATATATCAGAACAAGTAACAAGAATAATGACAGCTTTATGATTGTATTGTTTTTAAACATCATCATGAGATTATTCATTGCATTTTTAAAAAATATGTTCTTAAAGAGGAAAGAGATTTCTGGAAAGGTGTCAGACCATGATGCTGATGGTTATCTTGAATTGAAGTGTGCTATAGTAAAACAGAGATACAGCTTTAATTTATTGCAGTGATTCTCAATGAAGGTGCCATGACATGCTGGGCTTCCTTGAGATCTTCCAAAGGATGTTGTGGGATGCCATGCCAAACTAACATTGTTAGGTGTGCAAACATGATTCATAAGATAAACCTGTAGTTTTCAAAATTGAATCCATACTGTTAAAAAAGAAATCCACCCTGTTGTGGTCTTTCTGAGTTTTTTGCAACAGAAGAATTGCTCTATTATTTTTCCCTAGTCAAAAAAAGTGGAAACTAAGAATTGGAATTTTTCAAGGGTTTTTTTTTAGTTTATCAGAGTGCCTTGAGTCTAAAAAGGTTAAGAATCATTGATCTATTTAAATGCTACAAGGCTTGTTTCATGTAGTGGAACAGCTAAGCATCAGAATAACATATGATTGTTCAAGCATGGAAAACATTTTGTAATATCCGAATTGTTTAATTTTTATATATATATATGTTCTGTCTATTACAAACTTCCAATAAATGCTACTTTTCTTTTATCTAAGCTGAATTAGTTTTGTTTGTTTGCATACTGGGAAACATTTTGGCCAGTGCCCTTAAAATATGGTTCTATAAAAAGGCAAGGAAATGTTCATGAGGCTTCTGTTCAAGGGTTTTGGAGAAAAATAAAAGGACCCCTGAGTACTATTAAGTCTTTCTTTAGTGCCAGAAAAGAGCCTGTGTGTAAAAAGCATTAAGGCTTGAAATGTTGTTACAACCCACTTTTCATTTCCTCAGTTTTCTCCAAGCACTTCCAATTTAGTTGAAACTTCCTATGTTTGTTTTCTTTCTACATTATTTTTTCTGTTTATTAGTGTTTGAGCTGGCCAGACAAGGGGAAAATAGAACTAAAAACAAAATTAAACCTATTTTGTTAAACAATAAGGCTTTTGATGGTCTAAATAGCATCAACAGAAAGATTTTTTCTGTTGCTTTTGATTGGGTGCTGTTATTTAAATTTGGTTGGGGGGGTATTGTCATGATTCTGATACAAATGACCCACTAAGGAATGTCACTGAAGTTTTGGAAAGTTCTGAATCACAGTAACAGTGGCAGTTATGTGGAAAAGCAAGAACTGGTTGTGATATAGAAGAAACTGTGGGAAAATAAACCATTTTAGACATCTAGGTAACTCATTAAATGGGCTCCTTTTTCCCTCATCCCACTAAAGACAGAATTTCCAGGACTCATGAACTAATTTAGAACTAAATTACTAATTTAGTCATTTAGATTTAAAAAATGGAAATGTTAAAATACTTGGACTAATATTGGGTGCGTGATGGGTTTGTACACTGCACAGGGGAATGTTGGCACTGGATTTATGACCCAGATACCTTGTTTCAGGTGGACCCAAACCCTTAGACCAACCACAACCTCTCCATTCAATAATAGGCCAATGTTATTGATACACAGTGGGCATGTCTACACAAGATATGTCAGTATGCATTAGCCTAATTTAATGTGCATTGTGGGCATGCATCTATATGTGCATGCCCTTAATGTGCATTAAAAATAACAAAATTAGGCTTATTATGCCTGCATTTTATACCTGCAAATGCAGCTATCAAATTTAGGCGTGATTAGTTAAAATGCATTAATGCATGTATAGATGCGACCTGGCACTAACTTTTAGTGCTGGATCTTCCCAGCAGCTAGAGCCACATGGCAGAGGTTCAGGGACTTGGCACTGAAAATTAGTGCCAAGTCTCTGCATCAGTAGACACCTGCCAAAAATCACTTAATGTGCATTAGCTTAATACGCCTTAAATGTAATTGTGCTTAAATGCACATGTAGATACTTCCAGTGATAGCAGATAAGAATAATGCAAACAATTCTATATTTTCTACTCCTAGAGCTGTCACAGAATCAAGGTATGTCTGATCAGTATGCAAACTTCACTCTGAGGTTCTTTTTTGAATGTCAGATGTTAGCAGGTTGGAGGCCAAGACCCACCCCCACCGTGGGGTGGGTGAGACGGGTTGGTGGTATGACCTCTCCATGGTGGCCTCAGGTTCCCCTCTTGGGGGATCCTTTGCTGCTCCGAAATCCCTCCTTTTGTATTTTTTCTCCCTCCTGATGACTCTTCATCTCTAAGCAACATTGATTGGTTTCTGTGTGTTCCCCATACTGCCCATGTTCTGTCCTGTGAACATATTCCTTTCTTTCAAAAACCCATAACATGCACACATCCTAATTTGGTTATCTACCAGTTTCTCCTAG